GGGAATGTGCAGGGAAAAAAGAGCAGGGAATTGGCTGCAACAAAATATTTGTCTGTACTAAATCAATCTATTTCTTAACATCAAAATTCTTCTTTTACTAAAACAGTCTTTCTCCAAATGCATTCAGAAAGTCAGACCTGCCCATACTGTAACCTACCAGATAAGCTTATACAAGAGCTGTATCCAGCACATTCAGAAGGAAGCACAGCCTAGCACAGCAGATAACACTGGTGCACGTAACCATCTGTACGGCATTTCCCTAACACTTTCACGTTTTGCCAGCAATGACAGTCCTGTCACAGAGCCCATCAGTGTGGAATGTTATCAGTGCCCCACTATGCCAGTGTGGCTATCACAGAGATTAAACTGGCTTGGAAACTCTCAGAGTCTACATTATACACAGACATGTCTGTAACAACAAATTTTAAAATTTACTATCGTCAATTATATTAACTATATATAATATATATATGTGTAGTAACATAAGTCATGCACTGATGAGGCCTAATGGTGTGTCCAGCCAATCAAAAACAAAGAAGAGTTTTGGATCCTGCTTTAGAGAAAGTCCAATTTAATTCTCCCTGAAATCAGTGTCAGCAACAGTGGACTCAACAAGCTTTGAATCAGACCTTAAAGATTACCAGCAAAAAGCTTGAAACAGACACATATGTGATATGGGTTTGATCTCATATTCATGATCTGGACTGAAATGTTTTATCTGGACACTGAGATCACAAAAACAGAGAAGAAAGAAGAAAGAAATTCTCAAGGGGTCACCTCATGTGCCCTGCCCCTCCTCCAAGGTGGACTCAGCTAGACCTGAGCTGCGTATTGCAGATGTTTGCCTCTGTGAACACTTTTTCACCAGGGACTACAGCAGAGACAGAGGAATGGTCAGAAAACACAAGAACTAAAGAAATAGGGGTTTTATGTAGTCAGAAGGCTTAGAATGCTGAATTACAGTGTGTTCAGATCTTCCTCACCTGAATTTTTTTCTTTGAGTTCCCAAGCAGCAGGATTAATCCATAAAACAGAGAATGTCCTTTAAGGACCATGCAACAGTTTCTGTATGAAAACATAAACATAAATTAGGCAAAGGCATTTGACCAGGGACATGAATTATAGTAGATATACAGACTGTGTCTAATTCAACTATAATCAGCAGATTTAGATTTAACAATAATTTGGCCCATATTATTACAATACAAAAAAATATATGGTATATATTTATAGCCTTGGTCTCTCCAGCTGTGTTGGTTTAGGTTTTATTACATCAGTAATAACAATTTATGTGATACTCTCAATAATAAGCTATTAAAAATTCAGTACAGTATATACTGATACCCATGGGATTTAAACTGTGGGAGCTATGTATATTATTCTCTACTTTGCTATTTCTATAGGAGTGAAGATTACTATAAAAATGGTTAGGTTATATACACTGTGTGAATTCCTGCTCTGCTTGAATCCAGGTGAAGAGAACAGTTCAGGCTGCCTTGGGTAAGGGTCCCAAGGGTCTTAGTCTTGCAATTTAAGGTTACACTGATCACATGTTCAGGCATGAACAATAATATCAGTGTGCTTTTTGATGTATTTAAAGAATACCAATAGATTTTTGAGGCATAACCTCCCTCAACAGAATCCATTTGATGCTTCTACAGAGTATCAGCTTTACCAGTGTGTCTATTGATTTTATTTTTTACATTTAATCTAATTTTCCTGGCATAGAAATCACATTGACAGTTTTGTAGTTCCCATGATCATCCTTGAAGAACTCTTTTGAAAGACCAGTGGATCAGTGGTATGTTTCCTATGTTCTATTTTGCTGGCATTAGAATCAGATTCAGTGAAAAACAAACCACTGATGCTAGCACTTCAGTAGATGAACATTCAAATCACTTGGTGGAAACACTGCACAGCTCCAGCAATTATTTACTGTTTAACTTATCAATTTCTCTTGAAGTCTTTCCTACTGACAATTCATTTTAGGACAGTTCCTCATGCTCGGCCCACCTAACATTTGGCTCTTTAACAAGGCAAATATTTCTTTCAGCTTTTTAGCTGTAGAGTTAGCCACCTTGAATGCTTCTTCTACACTTTTATCCCCTACAGCTTTACTGACTCTCTTGCAGGATTCCTCTGGTGATGGAATTTGGAAAAATTTACGTTATTACTTCCACAGCCTTGGCAAAATCTTAAAATCTTTTTGGTCAGCTCTGTTGTGGTTCTGTATTTAATATGACAGAGTTTATGTTCTTTCTATGCTCCTTGCTTATATACAACTTTAATTTTTGAATGATGTCTGCATTTTCTTCCCTCAGATGACACAGCTGTCAATATTTATGGGTGGCACTGCCAGTATCCTTACCATTATGACTCTGGGAGCAGGGCCTGGGTGAGGGACATCAGTAGAAAACAGTAATAACCATGTATTTTCTTTCCATTGTTCAACCAGGTGGTCTACTGCATGTGACTCAAAGGCAGTAACATGGAGCATGGATCACATGGGTTAGTAATTAGCATCAAAGCTTTCATGGTGTTTACCTTTACATTTTACTTGTCTTTCCTGTGATCTTTTTACATACATATTTGTTAGATTTGGGAAATGTCTTCAGAACCTCTTTCTGAATACAAGAAGAAGCTTAATTCAAAATTTCTGTGCTGCCCCATTTTCTTTTTGAAAATTATTCTGGAGTATAGCAATGATTTTAAATTGCTAGTTGTCAAAAGCTGGAAGGATTTACCAAGGGAGTAATCATCCCCTAGGTACTCTGTTCTTCTATACTTTCTTAGAGCATCTGCTTGAATCTGGTTGTGGAGGTGAGGAGGACCTTTGGTCTAACTTAGCATCACAGTTCTTATTAATGGAGTTAAATTATATGATTTCTATACAGTATTGAAGAAGATTTGAAGAATGCAAAAGTAAAATATATATACTTGTGTCAGTTCTCCACCCTGTAAAGACAGAAAATTGTTATAAAGAAGGCAACATGATCTGGACAAATAAGTAGGGGTTTCTGTGTCTAGCATGTTATTGCCCTATTGTTAGCTGAAAAATAGTGCTAATGCCTTCACACCTGTTATGAGACTAAAATAAGAAGTATCTGCATACTACTTTGTGAGGGAGACCTGCATCTGCATAAGAGAAAAAACTTCTATGGACAAAAACCTGAAAATTATTTTCATAAATGTATTTATTTATTTCTCATTTTCCTGGAACAGAGGAAGTGGTTTATCTCATTCCTGCTGTAATGAATGGCCTCCATAGCATCCTCCTTCAGTTCTACTGTATACATAATTCTGAAAGACTTCTCTCAGACATAATAAACATATACTTTATCATGCTGTGATAATTAAGGTCCTGAATAATATCTTTGTTTTGCAGTGGTGTAGGGTAAAGGTTTTCAAACTGCTGTACACAGGCTATTTTCAGGGGCTTCCCAGAAGCAGCTCCCAGCTCTCTGTGCAAGTGCAGTCCTGCACTGCAGGCAGGTTCTGTAGCGCAGAACCTGTAGCACTCGTACAGCAGAGCATGCCTGATGCTGCACAGGCGCTCACCCTCGCTTGTGCAGCACCAGTACAGATGCATTCATCTCATAATTCATCAGCTATGTGGCTTTCCACAGGCCAGCATTTTCTGAATCAGCTAAAGGCAGAGTGGTATTTGAACACGGAGGTAAAGAAAGGTGAGTAGGAGGACATGGAAAAGCAGCTAAGGATTAAAATTGGGTGGTGGGAGTGAACTGGGTGGTTAAGAGATGAAACATGGTGGTAAGGTGACTACAGGTTCGGGTAACTTACATCAGGTCCTAGCTTGAGGCAAGGAAGAGCACTGATGGGGTAACAGAAGTGGCCCATTTGCCCAATTCCGTAAAGCTCTGTTCTATTCACAGCAGATAACACTACTGACAGACCTAAACATATTTACCACCAGGGTGAAAAAGGTTTAGGACAGATACAAACCAAGGCACAGAGCATCTACAACATATACCAAAATATTCTACCAGTACTAGGCTAAGGTTTTGGTGTCAAGTCAAATGGCAGAAAATACTTGTAAATCAACCAGACTTGTTAGTCAAGTCAGCATCATATCTGATAAAACCATTCAAGATGCTTAAGAGATTAAGAGTGTAATATTTTTCTCTAGGAGGCCCAATTCTTTGAGTTATTCAGCAACTTCATGTCTTAAGACCATAGAAGATAATGTTATAATGCTTCATATTGTAGCATCTATGCACTTTTAAGCTAAGAGTACTGGAGACATATAGTCACTCAGTGCCTCACTTGTCCATAATGCATTATAGGAAGCCACTGGACCGAAGCAGATTTCATTAAATGTTCCTAATTTATTCTGCCTCATTGCTCTTTTGTAAACAGGGCGGGTCAATAGAGAGCAAGGCATTTAGTCCAAAAAGAGTATTGTGAGTGAATATACAAATTCAACATACTACACCAAGGTAAGATTCCTCATTAGCCACTGAAATCCCTCAGAAGTGACAAGATAAGAGCTTTTGTTTACAGAGTAGAGCACAGCATTCTCAGAGGCATTCATTCTCTTTTACAATCACCTGTTGAAAGGTTTTTGGACAGCCAATAGTAGCATGGTTTAAACACCAACCTAGGTCAGAGAGAAATTTTCAACCATATTTTGATTCCTTACTCTGTGGTTTCTCTTGCCTTTTTTTCCTTTTTTTAATCAGGGTGACAAGAACAACGTTTTATTCATTTTTACCAGGAAAAAAAAAAAAAAAGGTAACATAGCAGGAAAGGTAATGATTAATCCATTCTGCAAGAAAAAAAGAAGAGTTCTGATTGTGAACTTACTGGTATTATCTAACCAGTATAAATAGAAATGTACTCAGAGAAGGCACAGGATGGAAAACTCATGATGAATTGTTAGGGCATGTTGAGTTGGTTCTGTCAATGCCTGCAGTCAGATGATTTCACTGGCTGTACAAGATGAAATCTCATATTTCAATGTATAAGTAAAAGTGTCAAAGTTCAGCAGAAGCAGGGACGAATACAGAACAAATTTTGTGTGTATTTGTAACTAGGGCACCAGAGCAATAGAGGAAGCCAAAATGAGCCGGAAAAGCAAAAGGAGTTTAAAGGAGAAATTTGCCTTGAAGAACAGCTTGGCTAAAGAAGCCCTCTCAGAATTCCTGGGAACTTTTATATTGATAGTAAGTGTCAGCTGCTTTCCTTTCTTCCTACTAATCTAATGTTGGACAGTGCTTGTAAGGGGACATGCATGCTTTTTCTTGTACTGTACCAGCAGCGTGATTACTGCTTGACAAACAGTGTACAGCCTTGAATGAATTGCTTCTTTTTATGGTAAGTTCGTAATTCCTTTCTTCACCTGATGTAATTAGCACTAGCTATTAAAAACAGATAGCTTTATGTATTACAATTATCTGACAGGCATTTGATATCATAGAGGAGCAGAATTTCAGTGAACTACCACAGTCTGAAAAATCCAGATATGCACAATGAATGTTAATAATACTCTTGCTTTTGTTTTTAAAAAACTCAGCAGTTTATTCTACTTTCACTTCTATACACAACTTTCATTTGCTTTAACAAAGATACTGTATTACACATTGAGAACATTTTAGCTGAGTTATTTTCATGTGGAATGTAGAAATTTATCTGTGTGATTTGAAGTGAACTTATTTGGAGTTGCATTGCTGAACCTCCAGAGATTTTGTAAGTTAACTATTTTCTGTTTTGATTTTGCTGTACTACATAAATTACACAGTTTCTTGGTCCTGTAGTACTGCTACAATTTAGGTAGATACCAAAACTCCCCATTTTCATATCCCCCGATTTTTTTTACTTAATTTCTTGCTCATCTTTTCTGTGCATTTTGCACTGGGACACAGAGCTCTAGCCTATGATTTACCAGGGTAGAGAGCAGGCTCAGTAGCAGAACTGGAAATCAAGCAACTAGAGTATTTTTGCCAAACTCTTTCTTCCTCCTTTTAGTCTGAACAAGACAGTCTTGCTTATTGCTAAGTATTTCATCATAGTGAAAGGGACAGAAAAAAATAAGAAGCAGACATAGTATATTTTATAACTGTAACTATATTAGCTAAATTTCAAGTAAGTCATCTAAAAAATTCCAGTAGCTCGTAAAATACATGAAAATAATGGTCTTTACTATACTTCAGCCAACTAAAATGCACAGGCACTAAAGTAACTTTATTCTCAAATTTAATACCATTCATAAGACATTATTACACTAAGGAGCACATTTAGAAGCAAGGAGCACAAAGCACTTTACAAACATTAATGAATTAAGTGTCACAACACCCTGGTAAGAAGGGGAAATGTCATTATCTTCATTCTATATATTAGCAAACCTGATTGCAGCAGACTGCACAGGAAGCCTGTGGCAGAACTCTGAATATAACCCAGATCACCTGACTTCCAGTACTCTGTCCTCACCACGAGATCATTCTCCTTTTTCCATTAATACAATTAAGCAAGTGAAGAAAACGTATTAAAGTGCAGAATAGACCGCAAATACTATTATTTAATGTTTTGCTGCACAAGACTAAAAGGAAATGCAAACCCAGGGTTCATTTTCTAGTATATTCACCATATGAATATAGTAGAAAATGAAGCTACAAAATTGTTGTTGATCATCTGAGTTTTTCAATTCTATCTTACCTTTTCTAGTTTCAACCTTGGCTTAAAGCAGAGAAGAGCTTCACATGGATTAAACTGTAGCTTCTCCTGTGCTTGGATACCTCGATTTATGTTTAGACTGCACAAGTCAGAGGCAGTACAAAGCATTTATTGTGAAGAAAATGACTTTTCTGCTGTTATTTATTGCTATTGCTTTTAGGCTCTGTCAGCAAGCAAGTAGTTTCTCTTTAAGAACAGATAAATATTAAACCCTTAACTTCAATTGGAGCTAATGAGAGGGGCACCTTGGTAAGTTAGAGGGCAGAAATCCTTGGAAGACAGACACCATGTGTGAAAAAGAAGCGATAGCTTGCTTTCACCATCCTATTACTATGTCTTAATCCTGTTACAAAGTGAAAGTGAGAAAAGAGTTCACAGGCTACAGCACAGTTGATTTAGACCTTTGCTGAAAGCCATTTCATGCCACCGTGATGGGTTTTACAGCCTGTGGAGAACACCTGCATCAGGGAGCAAGGCAGGGACAAACCCTTCTGTTACCCCCAGGCTCTGTCTGGAAGGCAACACTAACTGGCCATACCTAAATCTGCAACCAACCTAGCACCTCTGGAAGTTAGCTGGGTGAAATTCTGTCTCTCCAAATAACCTATTTCTATTTTTTCTGGAGAATAACATCACAGACCACATACTAGTAAGAGCTTAAACTACAATCTTTAGTAACTCTCAAGCCTTGCAACATTGTTTTCCAAACTGGAAAATGTACAAACTGTAAGATTAATTTCAGGACACCTAGAAAGTGAAAACACTCATCAGGCAAGAACCAAGCCTTCACCTGGGCGTGAGAAGGGCTCTGCCTACAACATTAAACAGATTTGAGACAACCAGACTTGAGAAAGTCACTGGGTATACAGTTTGGATAACATCTATTGGTCATCCTTACTTAATATGCTGTGGTTTGCCTTGCAGCATGGTTTCAGAGCACGTAAACTGAATTCTTTTCAGATGAAACTGAAGTGGAAGATGAGCTCCAGAATTACAGCAAATGTCCTGACTATTAATGGATGCTCAGTCCAGTGGATCAGACTGGAGATACCCCTGAGATGTCCATAGTCAGGTTCTCTGAACAAGCTGCTTGCACTACATGACTTGATGATACAGACATAGCCTGTGTGAGCCCCTCTCCCTGCTTATCAAAGCACCTGATTTCAACCTCTGAGGGTTCAGTGAGGAACACCAGACTCTAGGAACCTGAAAGTGCCCTGCTGTATGGGTAGATCCAATGGTATATGGAGCAGCTGCCATTATAATTTGTCTGCATAATCCTGCTGGTAATCAGGCTGCTTTACTCTTAGACCTATTCTGCTGCGGTAACAAGTATTTCTTTCAGCATGAAGCCTTGAATTATTCCCCAATGCATAGCACAGCTTCTCTAATTACACTCTAGAACAAGAATTGAGGCAGAAACCCCCAAATGTACAGTCCATAACCAAATGCAAATTACAAGTGGTTTTGGTTACACTGAACTTTTGGTTACTGTCTTGAACTATATCATATTCAATTCATATGGTTCCATCAAGCTGAAAAAACGTTGCACTTCAACTCTTATGTGATTTCTATAAAACAAATGGAGTGATGCAGTTTTAATGTAACTAAATTACACTTGCAGTACAGGCTATGAGGAGCACGCATTATGCTGGGTATTTTTATTTGCAGATTATTTGTAAACTCCTGTCCATTTCTTCCATTTACTTTGGTGTTGTCATGTGGTAAATCCCCAACCTGTAAAGTTTAATTGCGTCATTTGTAATTTAGAATAAATACCCACAAAAAAAAAAAATGTAATCTAGACATAAAGATTTCAGTGAACATTTGAAAAGGATACAACTCTTTACAGGAATTGGATACTAGTTAATGTGGGTTTTACACAGTGTGTTTGGAACCAACTGGTGGGATTGGTTCCTCCAGCCTACACCTACCAACAGGTCCCTGAGGTGAGAGAACACCCAGCCGTTTGTACCATGGTGGCTGAGGCCAGCATGCACATGCATTTCCCAGCCTCTGACACAGCCTCAGCCTTCTGTAGCTGGGGCTGCCCCTGAGTCCTCCCTTGAGAAAGAACTCTTTGTTCTTCAACATGTCTCCTGGTTCAGTACATTTCCTCTTGGGTCTCCCATAGGATAGTCTGGGGAACAACATCTGGGTGCCAGCACAAAAGAGTTAAGAAGTCATGCTGCATCAAATAGATGATTTATGTGACTTTTTAGTGAGTCTGTCTGGAACTCACATAACCAACTACCTCTCTGCTTTTAATCCTGCTTCTCTTCACATTCCCCCTTTGGAACTTGGCTGCATTGCTCTCAAACAAAATGGGATTTACTCTGGCTTATGCCATTAAGTATATCTGAATTGGAGCAGTTCCAATAAGAGATGCCAAACGGGCCATGTGTCTTCCTTTACTGCCTACTGCTCACCTAACATAGTTTGTATTTCATTTTCACTCTCAAGAACATCTTACTAAACACAGTTTCCCAGAAAGGAGCTGCACAGGAGCCCTTATCTCCTGAGTCCAGTGCAGTGTACGCTCCTTGCTGAAACAGAACACAGGCTTCCATTTAGCATATGAAGCCAAGCAGGTAGTATGTATATTCCTATCCCAAAGCTTAACCTCCAACTGGAGGTGAGGAGCCTCTTGCAAAACTCTCACTGAAGCAAATGTTTATGTGTGCATAGAGGATGAATTGAATGCATGACACCCCACACTGCAAATAGTCCAACTAATGAGAAGGAAGGCTATTTATATTTTGCTCATCAAAATCTTTTCGTCTTGTTTCCATATTCTGACCACTTCATTATAGAAGTTATCACTTCTGCTTTGTTGTGGACTTTAGTCTTGTCTGAAAAATGTTTAAGTATGGCATTCCATGGATTTGCTCAGTGCAGAAGATTAAAATTTAAACAACTTCTCCAGAGCTTTCTTTTTGTGGCCCTGCATTCCAGCGTGCTAATTACAATACTGTACAATAATATATATCCCTTATTCCAAACATGCATTAGAATCCTCATTACATGATGTTATTACTACAATGAAAGCAAATGTAGCTTTTGATCATTTACTCTTTAAAGAAGTTTTTAGCATTTAATACAAAATTACTTAGAAATTTTAATAAGATAAATTCTGTGTTCTCTGTGAAAGGGAGACTCTTTATTTGTATTGGATGAAACTGCTTACAGTGAGTTTTGTTTAAGGTAGAAAATTAAGTAACAGTAGCTTCTAACACCTACCTTATTTGCCATCAGCAATGAATTCCCTGGAGTAGAGAATCTTTTATAATTAGCTCTTAGTGAACTTAAGTTTGTCAAAGCTAGATAAAAAAGGCTATTAAAACTTATTTATAATTGGTATTTTTGACATGTCACTTAACAGATTTTTATATAACGCTACAAACACCATGGGGCTTAGCAATGTTTGAACTCTGAAAAGCAGCTCTTATTTCACAGAGATCCATACATTAGGGTCTCTAACAGGAATACTATA